CTATGCGGGAGACTGTGACAAAGCTCACATCCGAGCTAGAAGCAGCCAAGGAAAGAGAAAGGGTTAGAGATGCTCAATTCCTTGGCATACAAGCTCAGATCAGAACTCTCCTATCTACTGGAGCTTTTCCGTTGCCCCGGTCTCGTGAGTCATCGCCAGAGGTTCGACCTCCACGTGATCGTTCTTCCCATCCTGCTCGTGATCGTTCCTCCCGTCCTCCCCGTGGTCATTCTTCCCTTCTGCCACAAGACCCTTCTCTATACCGTCTTGTAGATGAAAGTTCATCAGACGGTGATAATGATGCTGTACAAAACACCCCTTGACTTTTATATACTTTGAACTAGACAAATAGAACCAGTTTTGAACTTGTTGTAATTAGTTTTAACTTGGTTTTGGATTGTTATGGCAATTGAACTTTAATTTTTTGTTGTTGTTGTTGTTATTGTTGTTGTGTTGTTTTTGTTGTTATTGTTGTTGTTGTTGTTGTTGTTGTTGTTGTTATTGTTCTGCTGTTGTTGTTGTATTGGTCTATGCTGGCAGTTGGTGTAGCTACCAAAACAGGCATTTTCTGCCAAAATTATACCCAGAAAACCGACCAAAGTTGGTCGGTTTTTATAAAAAAAAAAAATACTGCAAATTACTGACCAAAGTTGGTCGGTATTTATTAAAAAAATAATAATTGTGAAGAACCAACCAAAATTGGTCGGTTAATGAACAAGGAATTCCCATAATTCAACATTACCGATCAACTTTGGTCGGTATTGTTAAATTTCAATTTTTTTTTAAAAAATATATATTTTCTTTTACCGACCAACGTTGGTCGGTTAAATTTAATAATAAATTAAAAAACATAAATGACATACACAGACCAACTTTGATCGGTAAAATTAAATTAATAAAATATGTTTCCGACCAAAGTTGGTCGGTAAGTCATTAAAATTCTTCAGATGGTCGTTTTAGTATACCGACCAACGTTGGTCGGTAATTACTGAGCAACGTTGGTCGGTATATTAAAACGACCATCAAAATAACAACCAAGCGTGTTTGGCCGCGTTTTGGTCGGTAACTGGCCATAATCGACCAAAGTTGGTCGATTTTTTTGGTCGGTAATTACCAGATTTCTAGTAGTGTGACATTTCTAGTTTGTTTTTCTTGATTGAGGACTTAAGCAGCGTATTTCTTGAGCTTTATTTTTTTTTAATTAAAGTCTTAAGCAGCGTATTCCTCGAGCGTAGGATTATGAGATTGTTTATGTGAAAGTGGTTTATAAGGATCATTCAAGTGTCAAGTGAATTGAAAACGTGGGAAGCAAACGGCGAAATGAAACTGTGCATGTGTACAGTACATGTTTTGGAAGACAAATATCTTAACGACTTTTTAAAGAATACCTTTCTAACTTATGTATATATCAGTTCATCTGAAATCAAAACTAGAAATAACACATTGTTACGTTCTCGGAAAAGAAAAAAAAAATATTTTATAAATCCCACCTCTACTTCTTTCAATGTGTTAATTTGATGTGTTAGGCAACTTATTTTAGTTGTTGTAACTATATGTCTTTTAAGTTCTTTATGTAATTCACGTGAGCTTTTCGCCCAATTCTCTTGGAACTTGTTGTGCTAAACTTAAAGTCATTCTAAATTAACATCACAGCCTGTGATTCACAGGTCACGGATTCAATAAGAACAACAAGATGAGTATGAAATGGAGCTCACAACAATCAATGCATGCAGTTATGTAATTGATTGAAAAGGGATGCCTACGATCAGTTGACCTCAGCTCTCGGACAATAATAACGATTTGCCGTCGTTAATACTTTAGCATAAACATATTCATGTTCGTTCAATACTTGCTCTAAAGTATGCGTGTGGAACTAACTATGTCCTCTATATGGGATAGTTTAAAATAAGAGCATATTTGAAGTATGTATTGAGCGACAATGACATATTTGTATCAAAGCATTAACAACAGGTAAATCGGTCAATTTCGCATAGTTCAAGTACCTATTTGAACTTTTTTCGTGTTATTATTAATATTAATTAGCTAATAACGGTATAAATTTTTATATCAAACTGTTATTAGTTTCTGTTCCTATCATATAGGATTTGGCTTGATCTGAACCAGACAATCCCTCAGCGTTCTTTCCTTTGTCATATCTTTTACTTTGACACCATAATCTCAAGTAACAACTTGTTTGGATGGTTGTTACTTATTGTATTGTATCGTATTGTTATCTTAAGTACAGTGTTTGTTTTGATTGTTACTTAAATTTTATTATATCGTATCGTTACACTACAACATTATGCATCTATAGCTACGAAATCTTAGCTATGAATTTGAAAATTATACCTAATACCTAATAATAGCCACAAAAATTAGAATTCTATGGCTATTTACAAAATTATAAAATTTTTTTGCCACAAAATTAAGTTGGTAAAGCTAATTCCTCATATTAGCTATAATTGCTAACAATCGTAGCAATAAGTACCTAAATAGCTATAAATTTATTGCTACAAATAAAATTTTGTAGCTAATCATAAGTTTTTGCCACGCATCACTAGTTACTGTAACAATTGTAACCTTTTAGCCATAATAAATTATTTAAAACAAAATATTGTAGCTAAATGAATGTTTTTGCTTCAAATTCTAAAAAGTTGTGGCAGTAGTTAAATGATATAGCCACAAATGTATTGCTATAATTGAATTCCGTAGCTATTCATTAGTTTTTGCACGAGTTGAAACTTGCTATAGCTATAGTAACTTTTTAGCCACAACAACATATCTGAAATAAAATATTGTAGCTAAATGAATATTTTTGCTTCAAGTTATAAAAAGTTGTGGCGATAGGTTGAATTAGCCACATATTTCTTGCTGTAATAGAATTTCGTAGCTAATCATTAGTTTCTGCCACGAATTAAAACTTAATATAGCAACAGTAACCTTTTAGTCACAATAAATTATTTAAATCAAAATGTTACTAACAAATAAATTTTCTTCAAGTTTTAAAAAGCCATTTGCAATAGCTGGTTTAATAGCTATAATTATTTATCACGATAAAATAATATAACCATAAATTTATTGCTACGATAAAATGTTATAACTAATCATTAGTTTTTGCCACAAGGTAAATTTGTCGTAACAATAGCAATCTTCTAGCCACATTAAATATTGGAAATAAATTTTTGTAGTCAAATAAATATTTATCTTCTTATTTTAAGAAAATAAAAATAGTTAGATAATAGTTACAACTATTTATCATGACAAAATTAATAGCCATAAATTTAAAATGACGTTAGATTTACGAGTTAACTATAACTTTAGTCGTACAGTTAGGATTGTCAATAAGTTATATGTAAAAAAATTCATAGGTGCATATTTTTATTTTAATGACAAAAATAAGAGTTTGTCAAACAATATCGAGTTATGAAAATCAATTTAAACTATAAAGCTAAATTTTTCCAAAATAACAGAAAATATAGTAACTATATATAAAAGTATTAATAAACTTTAAATATGCAAAAGTTAATTTTAATAGAACATTTGTATGCCTACTTGTAGCCTCAAAACATATCAATTTACTTTTTGTTTATCAAACTCATATTTTATTTTATTGCAACTTGTTATTTTTGGACGTTAATAATATATATATTTGGTGTAAAATTTAAAATATATTAACATTTGTAGAGAACTTATTTATGTTTGGTACTTAACTATTTTTTTTTATATAAGTACTTAGAGTAATTTCTTATATTTAAGTATTTATTTTTAAGTAAGTCTTCATATATATATATATATATATATATGGTCCTTAGATATTTTTTTATAAGTACTTAGAATAATTTCATATATCTAATGATTCATGTTTAAATAAGTGCTCATATATATTGAAGAACTTTGTGATGGTTTTGGTGTATTTAGTTTTGATAAATGACCAAACCTCCAAATACGTACAATGAACATATTTAACACTACAAAAAAGTTTACGCCATTATAATTTACATTAATTTTTATGTAATTTTGTTATAGCTATTTATGAAATTAATTGATACTTAAGTCCACAGGAAAACTAATATATTATAATTCTTATTAAGTATAATGAAATTATAGTTAATTAATGTGTGGATGACCAATTTTATAGAATTTAAAGAACTATAATCTTGTATCAATTACAATGTACAATATATATATATATATATATATATATATATATATATATATATATATATATATATATATATATATATTAAAAATATGTGATAATTAATTACTTTCTTAATAAGTTTCTAATTTTCATTTTAAATTATACATTGAACATAAGGATTGATAATTAAATATGATAAATATACAGAAAGAGGATCATGTTTCTCTAGTGACTATTATTTGATATTTATAATGTTTACATCATTTGATATTATTAAGTTTCACTTCAAAAAAAAAAATTAAGATTTTAGTATGCTTGATATATGAGTGTATAACATAACTAACTAGTATACCATAATTCATATTAAACAAAAATATACTTGTAAAATTTTATACAATTTAAATAATTATGTAATTAATTTTCATTAGATTTGAATAGGCAATATCAAATTTAGACAATATGTTTGTATCTATGTACTTTGATCACTAATTGACTCAATTTAGATAAATAGAAAAGTTGTATATTTAATGGTTTAATACTGTTTTAGTAACTATCATAATCTAATTAAACACTAAAATTAAGAAGCTAATATAATTAAAATAAGAGTAAATAACACATAACAATATGGTACAGGACGAGAAAAGTGGTATTACATTATAGAATATCTGTATTTAATACAAGTTGATTTTTCTATTTTATTTAGTATACATTATATATTTAATCTTTTGCATTTTTTATAGATAATTTTCTTACTTACTTGTATACTTACAGTTCTCTTATTTCGGTATTGCATTAAGAAATAAAAGGAAGCAAATAAATATTAACAAAAAGAAAAGGCCCATAAAGGCCAAATGACCCAAACCAAATTCCCCAAAACCTAATAATATATCAATCTCGTTCCCTTCCCAGCCGCCCCCTCCTTCCTCCCTTTTCCCATTTTCCATTTCCCATTTCCTTCTTCAACAATGGAATCACTGGCTAGATAGACCGACTCCTTCTCACTTTCCAGGTATGTTTATGTATCTATATTTTAGGATTTTTCAATCCCCATATACTTATTTAATTTGAATTTTTGGATTTACATTCTAAAAGTTTTGATAGATATTGTATTGTATTGTGATAGACATTGAGTGAAACCTTGAAGATTATAATGTAATGTTGGGAGGCGCCACTGTTAGCCGAAAAGACACTACAAAATATGAGCTAAAAATCCTTTAAAAAGTTTTTAAAAAAGTATACAGGTTTGCTTTCTTATCTTGTTGCTTTGAATTTTTCCTTCTTGTTATAACTAAATATTCTCGTAAAAGAATTATCTACACATAATTTTTGTCTCTTTGAATGTTCTACTAGCATTTTTACAAATCAAACTTACATATTTGTATTAATGTTTCTTTTTGGTTCGCTTATTCTTTTATGCTAATTATTGTTTCTTTTGAATTTACAGGGTGCATTTTTATCTATTGATTGCACAAGATCATCTGGTGGCAAAATCTTCAATCCCTTCAATCCCTAGATCAAATACTTAGAACTTAGTTTTGTTTTGATGTGGAACCCTTCAGAATTTTACAGATTATAGTTAAATAGACGACTCTACTTTAGATAGACAATTGTCTATTTTAGAATTAATTTTTGTAACTATTTAGATGTCAATTTGTATAATAAAGTGAAATTCAAAATTTATTACCGTGTGTTTTTATGGTTTGATCAAAGATGTATGAATATGAAATATTTAAAAAATTAAAATATTTAGTGAGGTAAAAATAAGAAAAATAGCATCGCATTGATAGAAAAATTTGTTATCTCTAATATATTAATTTTTCACAAAATAAAAATAAAATATAATAAAAATCTAGTCCAGATAAAATATAAAAAAAAGATTAATCATGGATATTTTGACGATCTATAGCTATGAAATTATGGGTTGGTATCTAAATATAAATGCTATAATACAAATCTAATATGTAACCACAGCTACATATTTGAATTTTGTGGCTAAATAAATAACACATTTTTGCCACGTTATATTCCTTTGCGGCTAAAGTATAGAACATAGCTAACAAATTAATTTATCGTGACAAAAGAATAAAATCATTAGCTATAAATATATATTCTTCGTGGCAAAATATTTTATTAATATAGTCACATCACAAAAATTCTTGTAGCAATATGTATTATTCCTTAGCCACGAAATGTTAAAGTTTGTAACTAACTTTTAGTTACGTTACTTCTAGCTACTAATGCTACAAAAAAAATTGTTGTAGCTAAAGTGTTTAGCCATGTAAATTTTCATATTTAGCTACGACGAACTTCGTAGCTGTATATACATAATGTTGTAGTGTTAAATCCATCGTTACGTAACGATGAAATGTGCCACTTTATCTAACGACCAATTTGGTGTGGTCACATCGTTACCTTGTCTTTTTCTCTCAATCTCACCCTTCATTATTATTAAATAATTTTATTTTATCATTACCCTACCTTTTTTATATACAGTATCATAATTTTTCTTTATAATATTGCAAGTTTATTCATCATATTACTAGTGCGTGATACCATGAAACGACGGCAAAACGACACAATCCATCCAAACTTGTATTCATCAAACGATACAGTACAGTACAATACGATACGATACATTATGAAACGATATGTAACAACCATCCAAACAAGCTGGCGTACAACACAAATTATTTAAAATTTATTGGCATTTATTTACTTATTTAAGAGATAAAGTGCAAAATCAGACGACCTCTTGACTTTGTTAATTTGCGGTTGGAGAAAAATATTAAAGTTTTATATGCACATTTACTTAAATGTATGCTCTTCAGGTAGGATATGAAGATATAACCCAAATAATTGTCCACCAAACGGCTTAAATTAAAAATAATCAATAGATATATAATATATGTACATATAATCATATATAATGTATATGTGTTACTGTGTAATAAGTGTATAATTTATGTATGCTAATCTATGTATGTCGCTTAGTAAAAGTAAATAAGGAATCCAGCTATCTATTTGTGTAAATATTCCATCGTATATCACTATCAGCAGAGACGGAGCCAGGATTTGAAGTTTATGGGTTCTGAAATTATGATCGAACCCATCGCTCGTTTAGTTACTGGGTTCACAATTAAATATTTATACATATTTAATGAATTTCTTAATACAAATACAGTATCTAAAGCAAAGGTTACTAGGTTCGTCTGAACTCGTTTTTGCATCACTAGCTCCGCCTCTGACTGTCAGGTGGGCTACGAAGGATATACGATGGATTGGGCTGAGTCTACATTCTTTTTGGGTTGCTTATGTGCTTGCCCAACAAATTTGACCCACCAAGTTCTCCAAAAGTTTAATTTTTACCAAAAATTTGGTGCATTTGAGATATAAATAAATGGTGTTGTGTACGGGTAAAATTGGGGGTAATGTCTATCCCGATTTCCCCATGAGAAAACGGAGGAAGGGTACGGATACACTAGTTTGTGATCGAGGTTAGAGACCCTTCGAATCAAAATTCAGGAAGAGAGAACGGTTTGCTTGTCATCGGGTATGGTAAAGCGAAGCGCCTCGGGCCAAGAACGAGTTCTAAGACCTCGGGAAACACGGTAAAACGTGTACAGGCAACAGATAGAGGGCTGTGATATTAGTACCCAACCGGCTATCACGGCGCGGATCTCGCTTAATGTCGATCATGGATCAGTGATTACAGGGAAAGGAAGATTTTTATATTTTCTAGACTTATATTAGGGATAAAACTCTCTTACTATATAAAGGGAAAGTTTTTTTTGCAGGACACATTGTAACACGCAAATCAAAGTAATACAAGTTTATTTTCTGCCCTTTATCTACTGTTAAAGTTCTTGTTCTTTCATGCTATTCTTCCTTCATGATTGGGCTCGAACAGAGGGTCCAATCGAGGACGAGGTCACTGTTCAATCTAAGTTCAGGCTTGGCCAAAACATCAAATTGGTTTGATCGCTTATTTCGTCTTTAATACATTTATCTAATATTCTTTACTATTCGTGTTGAATCAAACCACATATCCTTAAAACCGCGTACAAAGTTAGTTGTTATCCAATTTCGCGGTAAACAGTTTGGCGCCCACTGTGGGGCTAAGGATAATAGTGGTGATTTGATACGTATCTCCATAACACACCCTATTTTATGTTTGTTCTTTGATGTCTTAATTTCAGGTCTGCCCAAAAATATCAAATTCCTAGTCTGCTCACTTGACCATTGACACTGAGTCTGGCCATCACGGCAAAAATAATAATTTGGTGCCCAGCAATGAGGTGCCTCCTACCGATCCCCAACGATGCCCCAATTGTCGATCCGTTTGATGCTAACTCGCAGGTAGCCATCAACGTCAATTTGCTAATTGATCCCGAAAATAGTATTTGCGGTAGACCCCGACTTACAGCTCGGGAAGCGCCGAAAGGCGAAGGTGATGGGTAAGCCTACGGCTAATCTTCGAAATGTTGCAGGCTCAAAAAGTGGCGATAGTGCAGCTGCAGAATCAAAGCCACTCTCCAACAGGGTCGAGCCCGAACGATCCCGGGAAAGCACTCGAAGAGAAGAGCAAATTATCGAGATACGGGTTTATTAGAGTTTCGCGGATCGGTACGAAGACGTCTGTACTTATCTTCGAGAGGCTATGGAACTGTTAGGAAAATTTCACGTCATTTGATTCCTTGTCGTGCGAGATTATTGACTTTGAAATTCTAAACTTCTGTCTTCTATTCTCTCACAGATGGTGAGGACACGTGCTACCGGAGATGACCAGGCACCCGCGCCCCCTGGTAGAGCCGCCAGAGGCTGGGGCCGGGGTAGAGGTCGAGGACGCGCATGTGGTGCAGCCGCAGAACCCGCGCGAGCTGCTACAGAGGATCTACCAGCCGCTCCAGCCGGAGCCCAGGCGCCTGATACGCCTACTACTACTACTACTACTACTAGTCCAGCTCTCTAAGAGACCCTCGCACAGTTCATGAGCATGTACAACACTCTAGCTCAGGCAAGGTTGATTCCCCTTGCTACAACCATATCTCAGGCTGGGGGAGGAACACAGACTCCCGCCGCCCGCACCTTAGAGCAGTAGGTTCAGGTTGATTAGATCCCAGAGGTTATACCGTACCGCCTGTAGCCCCAGCTCAGCCCGAGGGTAGGGCAGCAGTTTTAGAGGAGGAACAGCGGAGGCTTGAGAGGTACATGAAGTACGACCCTCCTACATTCAATGGTCTAGCATCAGAGGATGCTCAGGGATTTCTGGAGGAGTGCCACCGTATCCTCCGCACCATGGGCATAGCAGAGTCGAGTGGGGTTTCTTTCACTGCCTTCCAGCTTCGAGGGGCAGCCTATCAGTGGTGGCATTCTTTTGAGTTTGATAGCCCGGCTGAGGCAGCTTCCTTTACATGGACCTCAGAGCCTCAGGGACGCATGGCGCGTGGAGTTTGAGCATTTGCGCCAGGGTAATATGACTGTTTCGGAGTATGCTATCTGTTTCAGTGACTTGGCTAGACACGCACCAGCCTTGGTTTCTACAGTTCGAGAGAGAGTTCACCTGTTTATTGAGGGGCTCATTTCCAGCATCAGGTCTAGCTTGGCTCGAGAGTTAGAGATGGAATCCCCTATCAGCAGGTGGTGAGTAGTTATAGGAGAGTATAGGGAATGCTTGCTCGGGATAGGGAGGAGAGAGAGGCCAAGAGGTCTCGAGAGTCGGGCCATTATTCTGGTGCCCGTGCTCCAGCTGCAGTTCGTCATGGTAGGAGTTATGTGAGTCGCCCCGTTCATTCAACTCTTCCAGCAGCCAGTGGTATTCCAGCTCCTCCTAGACCTCAGTAGCCTTATTATGCACCTCCAGTATCTAGTGCACCTCCTGCACAGGGTGCTTTCAGTGGTCAGTCCGGCAGACCTGGCATAAGCAAGTCACAGCCGCCACGCCTCCCTAGAGCTTGTTTTGAATGTGTCGACACACGCCATATGGTGAGGGATTGCCCTAGGCTTAGGAGGGGTGTACCTCCATAGACTTCTTAGCCACGACGTGCCCCACAGAGTTCTCAAGCTATGGTTACAGCACCAGCTGCCACCCCACCTGCTCAGCCAGCTAGAGGTGGAGGTCGGGGAGGTAGAGGTCGTCCTAGAGGGGGAGGCCAGGCCAGATACTATGCCCTTCCTATCCATACCGAGGCTGTTGCTTCCGATTCTATCATTACAGGTATTGTTCCGGTCTGTCATAGAGATGCATCGGTTCTATTTGATCCAGGATCCACTTATTCCTATGTGTCCTCCTATTTTGCCCTGCATTTGGGCGTATCTCGGAATTCTTTGAGTTCCCTTGTTTATGTGTCTACTCCTGTGGTAGATTCTCTTATTGTGGACCGTGTTTATCGGTCGTGTTTGATTGCTCTTAGTGATTTTGAGACCAGAGCCGATTTATTATTGCTCAGCATGGTATATTTTGATATTATCTTGGGCATGGAGTGGTTGTCGCCCCATTATGCTATTCTTGATTGTCACGTCAAGATCGTGACGCTGGCTATGCCAAGTTTACCGCGATTAGAGTGGAGGGGTACTTTAGATTACACTCCCAGTAGAGTTATTTCATTTCTTAAAGCGCAACGAATGGTTGAGAAGGGGTGTGACGCATATCTAGCTTATGTGAGAGGTGTCAGTATTGATAC